GGAGTTTTGTATGGATCTCGAGACAAAGGTGGTCGCTTTAGTGGTGGATTTAGTAGTTGCGGAAGTGGTTGATTAATTGGCCGAACTTTCTTCCCAACTGGTTTATACTTTGTAATACACCACAGATTTCCTTCTTGCCAACTTTCACACAGCTTTGTCTGAAAGGTCAAACCTAAACCTTCCATAAGTAGATTATCCGTGATTCTTTCCTGATTCCGTCGCACTGGTCCTGATACTGTTTTGGTTGAATTGGCTTCCAGGACTGGTTTCACTTCCTCTAACGTCAAAGTTCCATCTTTGCTTGTCAAAGCTGATCCCTGGTTAGTTGTATTATACCGTAATCATGCTGTTTCTGTTTTACAAATTTTCAAAAGTAGAAGAAAAATACTCAGAATGTTCTTTTTTGATAACATTACCTTTTCAAAATATATTTTTGTTTGTTTTGGTAGTTTTCTAAATAAATCCAGAAGAAAAGTTTTGAGCCAGTCTAGAAAGCCCGGTGTTCTGGATATAACTCGCTCGACTAGCTTAAGTGAGTAATCCCTTAGTTGAACACCGGAATTCATAAAAAAGACTGCTTTGAAGAATTCTTGAACATTCGATTGTCTTTGTTGGGCCGTATATTCCCGTCCTGCATCTTGATACTGTTGGTACTGAGATCTTTCTTGTTGTTCCATCCTCTTCCTTGGCCCGTTCTTGCTAATGGTACTGATACCCTGCGTCCCTTTGTTCCTTGGAAAGACAGAGTTTCACCGTTTTCGTGATATTCCAAAGTGCATCCGTAGTCAAATAAGAATGGTCGTCCTAAAATGCAGTCCTGGGCCTTGGGTGAAACAAACAGATGGGCTGGTCTGGAGAACCTTCCAATTCCAATGGGGCAATTTTCCGCTACCCCATTTAAGTCGCATCTTGCTCCCCCAACTCCTTTCATTGGTATATCTACTTGTACTAGTTCCAAATCCCAGGTCTTCTGCTACTGATCGAGGCATAACGTTTACCATGGATCCTGAGTCTACCATAAATTCCACGCTAGCTCCCCCAACTTCGGCTGTTACGTATCCTAGGGCACATCTATAGTAGCAAGGGTCCGTCGGGTCTTCCACCTCTGGAGTAGTCATAGCTGCCGAGACTTTTGCGGTTTCCGTAGTAATATATGTCGCACTACTCTTTCCTGGGAGTCGGTTCTGAAGTTTTGCAATTATTTGCTCCGTGTAGGTTGGTGAAATAGCCGTGAGTTGTGCAAAAGTTGTTGGAATTTTCAAATGGTCTAACTCCTGCAACAGAGCTTCTTCTGGCGTTGCAGCCTTTTTGTTAACTGGCTTCTCTTTACTCCACACTTTCTCTACCACAGGAGTTTTAGGTGTTTCTTCTGTAATTTCGGCGAGCTCGTCTTCTTGATCCACGTCCATATCAACTTTCTCTGGTTCTTGAATCCGCACACTGCGTCTCCCTCGTTGGCCTTCCGACCGAGTAATAGCGTGGTTGGCTAGAAAGTTTTCTGCACCCAATTGTGGTGGATCCCAATCAATGGTTTGAGCAGATGACTTCATGGTAGTGGGTGCCTGGGTTTCTCCAGATTTAAGGGATTCAGCTAATTTCCTTGCAGCCTCTTGCATTTGCGGGTCTGCTGATGCTGTTGCTACTACAGTACGGATAGGTCTTGTGGGGTTCCAAGGTATGTGTTGTCCATTTGGTAAGTACCAATCCTTCCCGTTACGCCTGACTAATCCTTGTTCTTCGTCTTTTAAGAGTTCTTGACATCGATAGGTTCCGTGTCCCTCTTTCTTGCAGTAGTAACAACTTTGGGTTTCATACAAGGGTGTTGAAGGCCTAGCATTACCTCTAGAGAATTCCGATTTTTCATTTGATCCGGCTTGATTGTAGGATGCAGGTATTATGCTTTTCAACTGAGACTTGAGTGAAGCAATTTCCCGCGCCATATCTTCAACTTGTTTGTCCATGGCTTGGCCCGTAGGTGCTTCCGCAATCATCTGATCTCTTCGTTGACTGTTTCCTTTCTGCGCGTTTAGTTTGTTCTGCATTAGTTGATTGGCTTCGCCAAATCCCGAGATGTTAAAATATCCAGGTTCCACGATCCGCACTTCCAGTCGTGATGCTTCGACCAAGTCTTCCCAGAGTGGAGGTAAGTTGCTGCCGTCCGGTCCTTTTGGAAGTAAATCGTAACTGATTAAGGTGCGTTTGATATTTGATTGACTTTCGCGGGAAAATGCGCTCAGAAATAGTATCGCGGCGTCTGATTTCTGATGAATTTGTTTATTAGTTACTAAGTACTTGAGAATGGTGGTGAATTTTCCTAAGTAAGATTTGAATTCCCGATGATCCTTGATTCCGCCATTTACTCCGAATTCTTTGGCAACCTTAACCAGGTCGTTGCAGGTGTACAGGATTGTATTGTCCAATTCTCCCCAGGTTTCGACCATCTCCTTTCGTAATTTTCTCCATTCACATTTCTCAAACCCGTTCATGGCTTCTAGTTGAGTTTTAAGATCCTCCGTCTTCATGAATCACCCGATTTGTAATGCTTTATCGTAGTCGCTTGCATTAAACGCCCTAGCCGCTCTTTCAAACCGCATCAAGAACTTTCCAAAGTTTTCGCCATCGTAAAAAAGTCCAGGTTCCTTGACAATTCTTGGTGCAACTTGAGGGATTGGTTGTTGATATGCTTGTTCCTGATTCGCTGGTTGTTGTTGTTGTTGTTGATTATACACTGGCTCTTCTGCATTCTGGGTGTTGTGAAGTCCATATCCAGACAGAGGAGGTAAGTTGTGTGCTTGAGGTGTAGGATCTCCTGCATCTGAGTCTTCCTCCGTTGTATCCCGCATTTCACTTGCTTTTCCCTTTCCTTTATCCTTTGGTGGTGGCATTGTAGTGTCCGGATTCCAATTGAAAGCTGATGATGATCCTGAAGGTCGATCGAAAATTCGGTTCCTAAAAGGTGTTGACGGTGCAAACCCATCTTCCAAATCTGGTGTACTGTACGGTAGACTCATGTTGATTTTGATTGATGTTCCTAGTTTTCCTTACTTGACGCTCCTTTGATACCTAAACAAACGGTTGCTCTGAAAAAGAAACAAATAATACTATGGTCTCTGGTCTCTTTACCAGGGCAAGCTTATGGTTTTCTTAAAATAAATAATCAGTTAAACACTGGGAATTTCTTCTTTCACAGAATCTACTTATCCAAATCCTTCGGTGGTCTTCCTTCTTTTGGTCAATAAGCAGCTGCTTTCTTCGAATAGTTCCGGAGTTCTTTTCAAACAGTATCCTAGTTATCCAGATCCTTCGGTGGTCTTCCTTCTGCTGGTCAATAACTGGCTGCCTTCTTCAAGATACTCGTTTCAGTCGATGGGTTCACTTTCTTTTCAGAGGTTCGTTGTTTGTGTCGTTGGATTGTTTATTGAAGTTTGACTAGTTGATCAACAGAATAACTGAATATGCCGCTGAGTAGTCGCAAATTTGTTTGTTGAATTTGTTCCGTTTTCCGCTTAAAGTAACGATACTCTGTCGATGTCTTCTTGATTATCTTCTTGTTTCGTTTAAAATTGGTCACACGATGTCAATGGTTGTATTTTAATATAATGTATTGCCCATGGCTGTCACTTGTATATAATCTGTAAGGGTGGTTGAGATGATCTGGTCCACTGGGGGGATGATGGAGGGAACAACTGGCAGGCAGAGGCCTCCTTATATAGACAAATGTGAGGGAATTTAGCCCCAGGGTACAGGCTTTTGAGGCATTTTAGCTGGCCTGAAGATCCAATGAGGGAATTTAGCTAGTCTAGTACATGCAGGTGAGGGATATTGGCTGGTGAGAGCACTGCCTTGAGGGAATTTGGCTAGCCTACAAGGTCCTACTGCAAAGGAATGCATGTGCACCTACAAAGGAATTCAATATGCACTATGTGCCAATAAAGGAATTCAATACAACACAAAGGAATTCAATATTCAATATGCATCCAGTATTCAAAATGAGCCATACTCAGAGTAAAGAATCCAAAAGATATCCTGTGACAGGTTGAAATCTGTGTAACTTCTAAACCATGAGAGATATGGGGTCAGTTGTAGTGGGTGACTAGGGGTAATTTTACCTGAGAATTCCATTTCTGATGTTATTTTTATGATATATTTAGTTTATAAAGAGATAATAATAAATTTTTATATTTTCTGCGTAGAAACACAGTATTATTTACCACAACGGGAAGAGTTGGGTTGTGACCATACCCATTTATTCCAGACTGCATAAATCTCAATTAAAAAGTTGTTGGTTGATTCCAGAGGGAATCAAGGTAAAATGCAATTGGGCCAGGGCAAACCGCCAGACGGAAACTAAGCACGCCGTGCTTATGGGAATTCAAAGAAAATTGAAATATATGATTTCATGTAGAACACTATTATTTCACTAGAGAATAGGGAGACACACACATCACAGAAAGTTATTTAGCATAAAAAAATACTATTGAAGAGAAGGGGTTTGTGGAATGTTAAATGAATGAGATTCTTTGGTGGTGTAATTAATATAATCATGTGCAACACATCTAGCCAACTTATGTCTTGTAGGAATAATAAATTTGGTAACATCATCCTGGTTTTCATGAACAGATGAGATTATCTCATGAATGTAAGTTCCCAAATTGACCCATATACCTTCGTCAGCTGAGGATTCGCTTTGTGATCTAGAATGGATACATTCAAACAAGTGTAAGACTTCAATAGAATCACTGATTGTAAATTTTTGGTAATCTTGAGTAGCGTTGAATATTCCACGAACACCAGAGAGGAGAAAGCAGATGAAGGGGAAGTGGTTATGGTGACTTTCAATTTTGGAAAGAGATGTACAATCGGCCGCATCGTCCAAAACAACAGCTTGAGATTGTGAGTTATTTTTTTTCTTTTTTTTACGAGGATTGGACTGGTCTTGAGAATGGGCTTGGAAGATAGTATAAGACATAATCATGTCGATTATGATTTTCCGGAGTTGATCAAGGGAATCGGTGGTTGGTAGATCGGAGGAAGTTGGGACCAATTGAGCATTTACAGAGGTTTCTGGCTCGCCCTCGGTTATTTGAAGAAGGTTTGGCATGGTGTTCTTCAAAGTATTGAGCCATGTTAATACCACCATGTGTCGTCTGATAGATTTAGGTTCGGATTGGACTTGAGGAGCTTTGGGATTTTTGTCAGAGATTGTTTGTATTGAAAGGGCAACTGTCTTGGCCCATTCACGTAACATTTGGGTAGAAGGAAGCTTGACCAGGGAAAAAAGCGCACGGAATAGGTTGGACTCAGGGTGTGATGATTTTGAGTTGTAGGGGATGATAGGATTGGGGAATCGAGTTGCTTTTTGAGTCGGTGAAAGTTGAGGACATCAGCACAGCACCATGGCTCCAGAGGCAAATATCCCAGGAAGGATTCGCCTTGATTGAACAATATATGTTAGTTTTCCCAAAATTTCACTACATGAAGCAATCACCAGACTTACTTGAATCCACAATTTCTTTAATCCATTTTTCGTAGTTGAACTCCGCTTTGTTGTAGACGAACGTTGCTGTTGGGGTTTTTGTTAAAGTAAATGTGTTGAGGCGGAATCCCAATAAGTATTCAATGGAGTTCCATCCTGTTTGCCACTTGCTTTTAGTCGCTCGACCCTTTTGAAGATTGAATGTAATGTCGTGAAGGGTTTTACGGAAACTTTCATTGAGAACAATTGAGAAGTCATCGGCGTTGAGGTTGGGTGAATCGCTAGAAGGAAGGGTAGGTTCTTGTTGAACTTGATCGGTTGAGGTGTTTGAATTCATGAGATCTGGATTCGTTCCATCGGCCTTGTCGTTTGCTTCAGTACTATCATCATCTTCATCATTGCCTTTGTCTAAAGACGACAAAGAAGACAATGAGGAAGATCTGGCACGTTTCGTGGGAGTCTCGTTGGTGGGATTTGACTGGTGCTGGTGAGGGAGGCTTCCTGAATCTTCTGACTGGGTGGTTGGCGTATCGCGGGGTAGTCGAATGTTTTGAGTATTGGAAGGAGCCGCATACGTGGTTGACTGTTGAGCCGTGGATCGCTTGGATCTTGCCACAGTGGGTGACTCACTGGGTGAACGGCCAACATGGGACGATGATTCATGATATGTATCCTACAAATTTTGAACAGAATTATCAGCAACTTAGGTAGGGCAGGGTAAGTTAGTGAATGGTGATCAGAAGGGATGTACGCACATTTTTACTTAAACCTGGCTCTTCATCTTGGTCAAGTTCGTCGTCTGGCTGGTTTGAGGGGGCCGAATCTTCATTTGATCGGCTTTTGGAGGTTGAAATATGAGAAGTGATGGAGACAGGCGGATGTTTTGCTTTCTTCTTGCCTTTTCTCTTTGGGGGGGCAGCGGAAGTCGAAGAGCGGTTGATGGTAGGTTCAGATCCAATTTTCACGGTGAGACACTCATGGAGGGCAAGGGACTTGTTTTCTTCGTAATCTAGAATTGGAGTAAGACTCAGCAATGGAAATGATTAATATCTTAGAGACTACAATACCTTTGCTGATAACTTTGAGACACTGAACCATTCCGTCGACATCTCTCCTGATGGATTTTGGGAGGCGTAATTGTGAGCAAGTCAATGCCAAACTTTGGACTTTAGAGAGGTTGGTGAGGAACTCCTCCTCAGTTATCTCTTGCACTTCTGGTTGAAGGATTGGATCGGTTGGTTCAACTTTGGGCTCCAAGGGTAAAGATTGTGAGTTGGAAGGAGGTTTCCTTGACTGATGGTCTGCTGGAAACAACATTTTGTAGGTAACGGGGTCTTTAATTAAATTGAGAAGGCCAGGAAGCATGTCAATGCAAGGCTAGAAGACAAATATTTCAAGAGATGGCTTACCAGGCGGAGGGGTGGCGGCAGTATTTCCTACTGATACGTCTTTTATTGTTGAGGTTGGGGTTTTGGTGGTTGTATTTTGAGTGGAATCTTCCATGATTACGAGAAAGCTTTTTGTAGGAGTATAAAGGGAAAACTACAGGAAAGTGGAGTAAAGAAATATTGATGTGGTTGATAGGTCGAAAAATGGGAATTAGTGAGTGGGGGGAAGAGGCGAACATCCCTCCCAGCCCATCTCTTATAACAAAGACATGGGGGGTCTGGAACGAACAAAGGGGAATAGAATTTCAAATGGGGTAGATCATCAAGAAAGGCCTAATGCACTGATGACCTTTCAATGCAGTAAACATGGTCTACCTTTGTGGGATCCCTTAAAACATGATGACTGTTTGTTTGTACATTAAGCTTAAAAATTGTAGCTAGAGAGATGTTTGGGTGAGTTGATAAATCATGTTGATGAACGAACTACCTTGCCTTGGGCTAGATGACCACATCTCAAAATATTAGCTTTGCTGATTTCATCCAATCTGCCTCAAAAATATACTTTGCTGATTTCATTGAATCTGGGATTGGTGTCGGCTACCTGCTGCGCTGAGGTTCCATGTGGATTAGCCTGTATATTATGGTCAGGCTTAAGGTTGAAGCGGTCAAACAAAATAAATAATAGATAATGTATGCGTCTGAACATTGATCTGATTTCAGCCTATAAAAAACGGGGGATTGCAGTGGGGATAGATTTTCTCTTACTATTTCCATGAATTGTAAATAGATCGGCAAGGTTAACAACCTTACCATTTGGTTAGGTATACAAACCGTTCAGTTAAAAAGGGAAGGAGTAGAAAAACAAACGTCAGCAACTGCTTAAGCACGCCGTGCTTCTTCACAAAGGCCTTAGATATATGGTTTGTCGCAGGAGATCAAGATGGGCACAGGAGCTCTTGCAGAAATAAATCATCATTGCTTTGTGGTTTGAAAAGTCAGATCTGGATTTATCGTATCAACAGGGAGAGTATCTATCAAGGGGGAACTGATAGGCCTGGAAAGCGGATCCAACGACTAGTCGATATTTATTTGGGCCTAATGCAGCAAGAAATCATGATAGTATGAGTACTTCGTCAAAAAAATATAGCTCCTGTTGATGAAAGCTCACCTTCTGGGAACCCGTGGCATCAGGTTGTGGGGTTCCAGTGGCCTCATCACCAGTTTCCGCGGTAGCTCTGACTGGAGTGGCACAAGGTGAAGGAGAGGCATTCCATGGTTTGGCAACGGGATCTATATATCTGGGGACAGTTAGATATGATATGAGGAATTCATTAATGCGGGTGGATAGACTTGCCTCTGGCCAATTCCGCCCTTCTTTGAGCCCAAATTTCCATGATGTTGGGCACTTCGCATTGAGGAATACCTAAGTCAGCCGCCTCGCCATCCGCCTTGAGTTGAATATCCTTCGCCGCAAACCAATGAGTACAGTCGATCATGGGGCGGAAATATTTACTGGACGGAGTGATTATACTACAAACTAAAGTATCTGTATCTCTGTATACTAAGGGCTCCCACATCTGAACAACTTTTACCATATTGGCATGAGTTTCGTGAAGCCATTCGTAATGTTCTTCTATTTCTAACTCTTTAGCGGTATATTTACGGTGACTTTTTGGCGATTGTGACATGCTAAAACTGGTGGGATTATGCTAGTAGGAGGTTTGGATGGAAGGGGACTATGAAAGAGAGGAGTTTCAGGATGGGCTGGTGAGACTCTTATTAGATTTTTTATTTGTGGTAATAACAAGAGGTTCCTATGGATTGGGATAATTTGCTGGCAAACCAGCAATCCTCCTCTCAGAGAAATTGTGTCGGTGCACAAAGCCATCTGATGAGAAGCGATTGAACTAACTGCATGGGTTAATTGTTTTGACCCCCAACCCTGCAGTTGGTCATTCATCAGGTACACCACATTAATTCCTGCTCAGAAGTGTATTTAATGAGGTCATATTTGGCTGATAAGCATGACTTGTTGTTATTGATGATTCATCAACTTACAGAATACATGTGATTTCTTACCGACAGAAAATTGGTCATATCTCTTGGATGGTCAGCATCTTACACCCCAAATCTGCAAGAGGAACTCTATTGGAGTACTTGGCCAACACTGCTGACAATGCCTAAATTGTGTCAAAGTGGGTTGGGCATTGAAGTTTAGCCAACGGTTACATGGACTTTAAGGGGGGTGGACTGGTGGCTCAATGCCGTTGTATCTGTGTTGTATCCTTGTTGTATCCCTTTTCCATGGTGAACTTACGGGGTGGATACACCTTGGATAAGAATCAAATAGGGCTCTTGCTCACTGGGGTGTGTGACTGTCTTTTTATGGATAGCAAATCAGTGTTGTAGATCCTAAAACAGATTTTGGAATTACCTTGTACAAATTAACACAAGGAGTATTCTTCACAGTCATGCACGTCCTGCTTCAAGTGCATGATTTATCTTCTAAGCAGGACCAACCGCAATCTCCCAGAATGAAATGCCATCTTCCTCACGGTTCGGATCCACACTTCTGGCAAATGTCATACTTGCAACATTATTTATGCAGCCTTTGGGATGTGATGTAGTTGCTCACCCCAGCCGTATAAAAATCCTACATGCATGTGCATATAGGACTCCCATTGAGCTTGAGACAAATGCCTGATTTGTACTTACCTTTGTTTGTTACGTCCATGACTACCAAAATTCTTGGTGGCTGACACAAAATATGAAATTTATAGAGCGGATATAAGATCCCAGAAGGTGCTGTGGGCATAAGGAAATCACATGTTCAAGGCCAAATTCTCCTGTGCTTAGTTTCAAAATTTGTCCTGGGTCAAAGTCATTCAAGTCACACCCGGTCTTCAGCTCCTACTCCCTTATCTGATTCCAAGTAATCTGTGTTGTTCAATTTGTCTGCAGCCACAGAAATTCTAACGCAATAAAATTACACATGAATATTTTGTAAGTTGATTAAGTCAAGCTGAGTTGCTTGATACAGTCTGATATTACACCATTCAAATCGTCAAAATGCAGATCAACCCATTTACGTTAAGGGGTAGGGCCCTTTCCCGTCCTGATCCACAGGGATGTCTGCTTTGAGTGTGACTGTTTCAAATTACAAATAATATTCTTTAAGATAAATGGACTCTAAAGATTCCAACTTGACTGGCCATCACCCCCAAAAAAACCTCCAACAGTACATCTTGTTCTTCCAAGTTATCAACAATGACTAGCATATCTTACTTGTACAGCTCTCCAGACTTGATCAACTACTTCAAAGAGACTATTGAGAATATTGAGACTGTGGTCTCCCAAATGGAAGAAGAAACTGTGGAAGACAATCCTACGAAAGACCGTCGGGCCATCGATCTGGCTAATGCCGTTCAAATCAAACAGATCCAAGAACAAATTTCCAGTTATTGCGCTCCTTGGTCCCTGACGCGTTGGTGATTTGGAATATTTGCAGGGTCCGACTTGGAAGAGGTAAACACTTTGTCTGACCAAAGGGATTTTTCCTTATCACTGACATGGTAACTTGTAGATCCGATTCGCATAGCAAGCTGGTCACCTACGACTGCATCTAGCACCCCCTCAATGGGAAGCTTGGCTACCAAGAAATAGGTTTCTGGAGTGGAAACCAACCTCAGTATAGGGACTGTAAGCATGAAATATACTTAATTGTCAATACATGGGCTCTGTTTACCAAATTGTACGCATGGTAATTCTGACACCTCCTTGTTGCTTGTTCCCTCAACGGATTGATGTCGTAACCTTTGGGTTGCTTCAACAGATATTAAGCACGGCATGCTTAATCCATAACAACAGTGTGCTTTACCCACGGAATTCCAACTTGATTTTTATCTGTTATCAAATCTCACTTATACCACCTACTTGTCAACCCTCTTCTTCAACTCCCCATTTTTCAGTAGATTGCCAGTTATTGGTATGAAAATTTCATATGTCAAGATTCAGCTTCCATGGTTATGCATGGATGTGGGGAGAAGTTTTCCAAGAAGGATATAGTGGTTTTCCACCTCCAACAAATTTGGAACCCGCAGGTGGTAAACTTGGATGATAATTCAGCTTGTCCATATGTGAATTGTGAGTTATTCTGATCTTGGGATGGGTTTCCAGGTTGAGAGAAACCTGATGCTCTGTTCTTACAAGGCAATCTTGTATGCTCAGAAACGTTGTTGCTTGAGAATCAAGCCCACCAGGCTTGCCTCTCTAAATATTGCTTGGATTGGACTACTTTTTTATCATAGATAATACCATTACATAGTCTTACAAGTTGCTCAAAAAACCTCCAGTACAAGTAATCAAAAAGGACAAACGTTTGAGAATGAAATGGACGCTCTAGTGGATACTTTATTCATGGCCACTGATCCGAGCTCCATAAAATGAAGGAATTTTATTCTCAAGATTACCCTCAACACTTAGCTCTCCAGGAAAGTAATGTCCACAATGGATGTATGCATGTGTTGTTACAATATTCATATAAGCTCTTTGTAGGCTAGACAGTCGCATTTCTTTCACCAAGTTTTTTTCAATAATTAATCCACTTTCAATTGAGGTACTCACATGTGTAATATGAAATTCAAACATAAAGAAGACATGCAACACAAATTTACCTTTTTTTGCAGGCATCTATATGCGCCAAGCCTGAAAAGATTAAGCACGCTGTGCTTAGCTAATTTGCGGCCAACTGGGAAGTCAGAAATATCTGTGGGTGAGTGGGAGACGACTTGAATTGGTCAAAGTTGCTCCATCCTTTGGTATAGTAAAATTATGGAACACATGTCTTTCTTCCCCTTCACCATCAAGGAGTGATCAGTCAATAGATTAAGATACTAATACATAAGGTCGTTTGGAGTTTTCTCTCCAAGGTTTTCATGACCTTCCACGCTTTTTTGTAAGTTTGTTCTCTTTGATGACATTCAGTTGCAATGTTTTCAATCTAAATCCGCTTGCACCTAAGTAGAAAACAATCAGACACTTAACACAAATTCATAAATTCAACTAGCCAAAAACAACATACTCAACTCCCACTACTAGGGCCTGGCAAACCTCCCAAACCAGGATCTCCAAACTTCTGCCGAGCCATTTGAGCCATCCCCGTTCCTCCTCGTTGAGTCATTTCCTTCAAAGTTTGAACTTTGGCATCCAAATCAATGGCTTCTTTGGCATCAAGGTGCTCCTTTTCGATTGGAGAGAGACCTAGCAAGAACGTGGGATTGTATGCATCTAAGGGAAGCTTCCGTGGTACCATGTCAAATTCTACGGCTACACCTTGGATTGAAACTGGATCTCGCTCAAGAAGCTTGCGGGTAGCTGCTTTTTCGGCCGTGGTTTTGCAGATTGTCAAAGCCATCTCGTCAAGTTTGATAGTAGTGTTTGATAAGTATGGTTCCAAGCGTCCCATTCCAAGGCGAAGCAGTGAATGATCGAGCCGTCCACTCAAACGTCAGACGTCCGAATCCTGCAAGTTGGATCTCCTGTTCGCAAGATTTTTTCACATGGATGGGGATGTTGATTGCGCTATTCAGAACATCTCCGGAAGGTTTGAATGATGGTGGAGTCAAATGCTTTCGTATACGGTCCATTTCGTTGCGGTACATTTTTTTGAGAGTAGGTTTGGCAACCTCCTTGTTCTTCTCAGTGAAGCTCTTTAAGTGGGCAGTCACCTTATCATAGCGGTTCTTAGTCCAGTTATCCCAAGTATCCCATTCCTTCTTAGTCGGGGGCGCTGGGTAAGCACTGAGTGATGCAGGCATTTCCATCATGAACTTGATTAAGTTTTGGATTGAGCGGGATAAGCCTCCGGACTGGCTGGGAAGCTGTTGGCCAACAACAGCCTTTCGTCCTTTGCGGGTGTTTGCTTGAGAATTTTCATGAGCACGTTTCCTCTTTTCACGCTCCACTTGATGCTTCAAGGCAGCCGTTGGATCTTCAATTCCACTGTCAGAATCTGATGGTAATCAGGGTAGTAAGAAGCATTAGCTACTCCTTTGTTTGAAGACATCAAACACCTGATGGACTTCTGCTCCCAGATGACAACAGAAAATATTTCAAAACTGACCTTCATCATCTTCATGATCCTCTCCGCCACCACCCAACATCCTATCAAACTCATCATCATCTGCATTTCCAGCACCTCCACGCCCGCCTTGAGATGTTGATGCATCACCATCTCCTGCCGGTCTCTCATCCTCCTCTGAGGTATCCATGTCGTGGGGGGAGCTCATCTTTGTATTTAAGTCCCTCAGCTTGATGTTTTTCAGTAATCATGTTACATGAGACAATTGGATTGGGAGAGATGCAAGGGGGTGGTCAGTGAAGGATCAGTGATGTGCTTAATAGCTGAAATTGGTTATTTGGGATGGAATAATTCACCGATTCTGTATCATGGATTGGTTGGGTAACCGGGTTTCTGATTCTGATCAAATTGCTCCTTGCTAGACAGCCCTCCAGATCTCTCCCCTGCACTTATATCAAAATCTGTGCATTCTGAATACTCCTAACCTTTGTCCTTCTGTGTATACCATGATTTACTGAACGGTCCAATTTCTCAAACAAAAATTGGTATGGTACTCCACAACAAAGGGAAAAAATCACAAAGATATCTTATCAGAACCAAATATAAACAATCATCCCCTTAACCGAAAAATATGTTCATGTTGTGTGAGAAATTAAGTTTCAACAGGAGCATCTAATCTAGCAATTTATTCTTCCAACTCAACTTTATGGCTCCATGCCTGTAAACAGAGACACAAACAAGGGTCAATAAACTACCTCAGGGTGCAAGATGTAAGATTAATTAAAATTTGGAAAATGCTTACAACACTGCCAAGACTGACTGCTGAAATGGTCCCTTGGTTGATCCCAAATGTACCGGCTTTATTTGCTAAAATAGCTATATGCCCCACAACCTTTGACTGATGTACAACAACAGCCTTCTCCAATTTTCTTGAGTAGAGTAACTTCACATTGAGCTGTGGAAGGCCTTTGTATGGATTCTTTTCCTGGTCCCAACGGTTCAATGTTGCAAAAGGCCGAATCACAAACCAAACATCATCCCTTGTTGAATCTGAAAATAGCAAGGAGATCCTCCCAAATATTCTGTCTCCACATTTGAATTTCCGGGGGGATTTTCGAATAAATCCTTTGATGCAACGTATCTCCGATTGAACATTTGAGCACTCTTCACGGTAATCACCATATTTTTGACCTCCCCTCCCAACGTATTTCCCTGGAACCCTATGTTCTGCATCTGAATTTTCCATTGTTTGTAGACTCTTGAATCAAGTGCTGTGGTCTTTTCCTTTCTTGTCATTGTCTTTTTTACGTGGTTGCTTGATAAAACTTCTGATACTCCTCCCAAACCTAGCTCCATCTGATTAATCATCCCATAGTATCGTGCTTTCTTATTCCAGCTGCTCATTAACGTCTTGTCGAGTTGCCCTTCAAGTTTATCAACAATGGAATTTCACGTAAGCCCTTTTGCTCTGATGCCCACAGTCAAATGTTGAGATTACCTACCAAGGTGATTGTTGCGTGGAATCTTTCCCAGAATTCCATTCAGACGCTCCTGAGCCCATGCAGAAGTAGCCATAGGGGGACCTAACCTCTTGATGACCTCGGGGTAATGCTCGGATAAGTGGAGGTTGGGTTTGCTATTTTGTGTTGGCCAGCCAAGCTGGAGTGTTTGTCGGTATTCCAGGATTAGTTGAGAATATCGGGTAATATCGTTTGGTTCCAGATGGTGCTTCATGAGAATATTTGTAATTTCAATTAACTTGACCAGTGAGTCTCGCAAAACATCCTGATGTGTCACTGCCCCTTCAATGATTTTCTTCTGCCAGTCATTGCCAATCACCCAGTATGGGACCATTGCAAGTGGATAATAAACTGTATATAGTATTAACCAATCTGCTGCTTTAAGTGATCCTGAACCCGACAATCCAAAACTGTGAGGGACTCTTGACACCCAAGTAGGAATCTGTGTCTGAGTGATGACATCTTGCAAAACCCGCAATTCTTCTTTCACCATTCTTGGCTGGTCAGTATGATCCCCTTCTTGTCCTGTTGGGATTCCTGGCTCTTCTTCAACTGCTTCTCTGTTAGCCACACTATTGGCCTCTTCTACATCCTCCTCAATCACCGTTCCAGTTCCTTGTGATGATGCACTTAGGACACTTCTTGCACGCAGATCATAGCGGCGTACAGTTGACCCCGAGGTTGAACTATCAACAGAGATTCTTGATGCTGATCCTGATCTTGTTGAGCTTCTTGTCCTGGATGCTACTTGACTCCCACTAGGCATTTGTGTTGAAGGACCAGCTGCATCCTCTTCAATACGTGATAATCGGGATAGGTTCTTTGAGCTAAGCAGGCGTCTCTTTCTCCCTCCCATCCCTTCTTCATCTGTGCTACTTCCATCATCGTCAGGAGTCTTCTTGCGCTTCTGATCAGGGAACTTGAGGCCTTGAAATATATCTCCTCCACAGACGTGTTTCTTCTTCCACTTGCCTTCAAGAATTTCTAGAGCCTTCAAATCCTTCCCGGCTTCAGGTGTTTTCAAGAAGGTCGAGCTGTGGTCTTTCAGGTTTCCTAAGAGCAAAACGTGCATAATTTCAATGCCACAATGATCAACAGGCCGCCAGTAGGGTAGCTTGTTCAGAATAGAGCTCCTGGCCACTTCCTTTGTTGCGATATCTTCTCTGGTTGCATGGTCGGTAGCTTCTTCCCATCGTTTGACTCTTTCCATGTGGGCCTCGTGCGTCTTTGGTTCAAAATTATTAATTCCTATAACTTCAGATTGGTGAATTGTGATCTCGCAGAGTGAACAAAATCTTGTTGCTGCATGTGATGCGAAACCTGCTGTTTTCCGAATTGCTGGTAAATCACCTATTAACGGAAATATGGCTGCAAATATTAGGCGGCCTTTGGGAAAGCCAATTGTTTTGGTGAACCACACCCCTTTCCAGAAATCAAGCATCTCCTTAACAAGCGGCTCGAGTATATGGTTCATTTGGCCGACCTTTGGCTCCTTTGGTCCGGGGATCACTCCAAACAAGTAGATATTTTCAATCTTGTAACGTTCGGCAAGTGGTAGATTGAGACAGACAAGGGCTACTGCCCCTAGTGATACAGACTTCCCACCACTTTTGTTTCCATATGGATTAAACCAATCAACATAAAGACTAAAGACGAGGTGCCCAGGCTTTGATGTGAATGTTTCATTAGAGTCTTGAGGTCCCACTAGATTTTTCCATACACTTCCATCCCACACATCAGCCATTCTTCCATTTGAGGGAATTTCATGTTTGAGATTTGAATCTAGTAGAGCTTCGAATCCTGGGAGCCAGAGTTTATGTGTAAGCCAGGCCTTCAAAGTTTGGAAAGTGAAAGTTCGAGTTGGAATAATTTTCATGATTTTATCGCCATCTTTCTCAACGTCCATTAGCTTCGTATTACAGAATTGCACTTCTTCACCAACTTTCTTTAAAAATTTCTTGGATTCTGAATAAAAAACCGTCCTACATGTAGTTATTAATTCTGGAATTTTTTCACCTTTCTTCTTAGGAATCTGCGGAATAGGGTATAGCTTGAAGCATTCTGGACAGCAAACTTCTTCCGAAAAATCATTCTCGAGGCCTAGCTTTTGGAGGACCGTGGGTTTTGAAAGAGGTATGTTCATGATTATATTAGATCCATCAAACGCAAATTCTTCAGCAAGTTGTTGCACTTTTTTGTGTTCTGTCTTCAAGAAATCCGTTATCTTCTTGTCACTAACTCTAGTGACCAGAGAAAGTTTAGCCGCTTGGAGCATTGTTGTAAGGCTGTGCCGAGGAATTAGCTGAAAGGTGTTTGCTTTTGAGGACTCAGTATCGACCACAAGGTAACCATTTGCAACGGCCTTCTCCTTTTCTGTGGATCCATCTTCAGTTTGATTAACAACGAGTATCTCTCCTGGGGCCTTTTCATATTATTTGCAAGTCAAGTAAGCCACACATGTTTGAATGACCATAGTTAAAATTGAAACAGTTAGATACCTGTGTAGTTCCACTTCCCTGAGGCTCTTCTTCAATAGACCTTTGTTTCTGATCCTTCTCCCGCTTCTTCAAAAGAGAATTCAAGTGTTTCTTAAATGAAGTAACTGACCATGCCTTGCCTTTTCTTCTCTCCTTTTGCTTTCCTAGGTCTTGATAGCTTTTCTTGATCGCATCCAAACTCGGTACATTGGCATATTTTTCATCGGGTGCTCATTTGACAAGGATTGATAGAAGTGAGTCTGATATTAATTGTTTGGGTTGATTTTTCAAGTTTCCAATTGCTGTTTAAATGTATCACATGCAAGAAAACTCATTATGCAAGGTGAAACCTTTCACCTACTGCGTAATACTGCGGGGACCTTGAATTGCAAGTTCGAATTTTTTAGGAGTTGGTTGTATTGCTAAGCACGCCGTGCTTATCATAACATTGATCCCCTGACACAGACATGTCACATAGTCATCCTCGATCACTAAGCACGGCGTGCTTAAAACAACAAATAGACTTCATGGCTTATCCAGCATTGGATATCATATCACATCAAAATAAGCCTGCACTACTGAAACCCTTGGGCTTGAGGATGACAGTAGATAAATGTATCCTGCTCATTACACCAGGAGCACAGATATTGAATCCTTCAAGCTAATGTCTCAAATAGAGACTTGATATAACAAATTACACTTTTCTATTTATAACTTCTTATGTCAATCAATCTGTCCCTTTTTTTCTTTTTCTATCAATACTAACTTGTTTATTTTATCCTGGCAAAACAGAAAAACTTCTCTTTTCAAAAAATTCTTCTTACCTTAGACTCTTTGCTCTCAGTATGGTGAAAAACTTGAAGAATGGAAAAGCCCCCTCCAATGTACAAACTCTCAACAAAGCTCTCTCCAGCATCATACCCCCATCCAACTCTCATTTCTCCAGGTGTATTGCTTCCTTCTGCCGTCTTGTTTTAAATATCAAAAAGCTAGAAGAACAACACTGGCAAAATTCACCTTCAGCAGAACAACTTCAACATGCCAACAATCTTCCACTAACCATTACAAGCCATCCCATTCAATCCAGAATAAAGCTTTCCCCTGTAAAACCCCATGTTTTACATGGTATCTCGTTGGACTGTCGGGAATTGTTCCTTGCGGATTTGAAAGCAGCCAACTTCCCCCATCCAACTTTTGCGTGGCATGAACCTTGGGACTCTCACTGGAATCAACTTTTCTCGGCCTTCCTCCTGAAGCACTGGAATCATTGTTACAAATACGGCGCCTTTGCAAATTTCCCATTCAATTCAAAACACAACAACTCTGTGAATTCAATGGCGGTGCTCAAAAGGTGGTTTGTAGGAAAAAGCAACGACATCCAAAAAAACAAATACTCCCCAGTTTCAGTAATGAAGAAAGCTATCCAGGTGAAAAAGTCAAAATGGCGCAAACAAGTCAGTTGGACTTATTTTACGGCTTGACTCCTACTTTTGCGTAACTGACTCATTGCAATTTTTTTAGCTCTCTCATAACCGTACTGAAATGCTCACCTTATTGGACCTTCCCGATGAACAGACAGACATATTCAGTGAACCAACATGCTGCTCGGACACAGAGCAAACTGACGATGGGAATTTCCATAGAGTTCAGTGTCCTTGGCGATCAACTCTATTCACAGAGCTTGCTTACCACCTTGACAAGTTCTCTGAGAAAAACAAGGCTGAAAAACTGGGTAAAAAGTACTACACCCATACTACTTCTATCTGGTTACTCCGCCAAACCAGTGAATTACGAGAAAAAATAATCAACGTGCCCTCAGGACTCCCACGAAACTGCTACCACCCAAATTTCCTTGCTTCCCTCAATGAAACCGACATCAATGTTTTAAGAATTAAGGACGAAATAGATCTTCAAGCCATCATCAAAGAGGTTTGTACAGAATAATGTATGTATGCACAAGCCCATTTACTTATTTACTAACACTGCCATCCTGAATTAACTTCCTCACCATTTCAAATTCCAGGTTTCCACTCAACGGTATGCTCAACCTGATACAATTAAAGAAGTTAGTCTCTTGCGATAACGTATGTTCCATGAGATGAATAAAAATAGGAGAGGTAATCACTCACATTGCAAGCTCTGCTTTCCTACGTTTAATCTGAAAAATATGCCCTTCAATACTGTTTGTCACACAGTACCTCACAACTTGTATCTGCTCCTGTTGCCCAATTCTGTACAGTCTGTCAATCGCCTGTTCCTCCACTGCCGGATTCCATGTTGGCTCCTAATCAGAAATGTGTTCAACTTAGCCTTTTCAATCCAATATTCCCAACTTCTTCATTCAAGGACTTACCATGATGTATACCTTTTGGGCACACCTCACATCTATCCCAACTCAAGCTGTCTTTATTGTTGCCAAGAGTATTTTACACTGCGGATCCTCCCTGAAGCGTTCCAAATTCCTCCTTCGAGTATCGTTTTCTGTTTTTCCATAGTGGGTTGTAAAACAAATCCTCTCCTCATTTAGAGCTACTTCAATTCTGAGATAATATGAATGCTAATGTTAGTCAAGTACAAGAACTATATATGGGTATTCAAATGATAAACTCACATTTCTAGAAACCTTTTGAACTCTGAAAAAATTACCGCACAAAATTGAACACCGCTTCTCAGGAATGACTTGAGGTCTTGCATTAAGTGGACAATCTTTGAGCTTTCGGCCCACGAGTATTTTCCGGTCCCGACTCCTTTTTCCATCAATGCTGGGTGATTGCACAGCTGTCTTAAATCCACAAGCTCAGCAAAGAAACTGCTGGAGTTCCAACCTTGTCCTGATGTCCGATTCTTCCCAAATTGGTTGGAAAATGCTTGGTGATTTCTTTCGTATATTTCATTCCACGGAGTTTTCAGTTCAAGGTTGATAATTGTTTCAAGTTTCTGAGGGAGAGACAAGATTGTAGTTTTCAATCTCCTCATACTGATTTGGTTCATGATTGTTTGTAATGTTGCAATTCCCCGGGGATCACACATCTCAACTGGTGATTCAATACAATTCTTCCAAATTGAATTTTCCATCCAAGGTTCGATTCTAAGGAACTTCATCAAGCTATGGAGGTCTCCAAGCTGATTTTGCAAGGGGGTCCCAGTAAGGCATAATCGTCGTTCTGCTTCCAATCCAAGTATTACACTGCTCCTACTTGTCTTTGGATCCTTCATGTAACTGAAAATTGATTTCAGTATAATAGTAAAAATCATTCCAAATAATGTTGGTTTACTTACTGTGCTTCATCAAGAATAATTCTAAACCATTTTATACGTGAAAAATCCAAACCCAGCTTCCTGCTTTCTCCGTCATTGCTGCTTCCGACCTGTTGACTGCTTTTCATTTGTGTTGATACTGACTCATATGTTGCTAGTACAACTGCAACTTGAGCAATTTCTTTGAACTCAATCGTATATTTCTCTTTACCATAGTACGTTTTGAACGGAAGACTTCCTCTCTTGAAATGTGTATTGATCTCGTTCTTCCAGTCGAAAGGGGGCAGATTATCAACGTTGCTGAGGTTAGCATCAAGTTCGTTACATCGGGTTGTTGACGGGAGAATTTCAAAGCTTCTTCACTGGAGAGTTGGATGACCAATAAAGTTGTCAACGTCTTGCCCAGACCCATATCGTCCGCAAGAATACATCCTTTAGCATCAAATTTGATGTGTTTCCCAAGATAACCTTTCCGAACAGCATCTTCGAAGACTCTGTGGACCCACCGATTATCCAAATTGTCCCATATCTCTAGTGGTGTTGAGAAAAGATTTGATTCGCTTCGTTGGATAAACTTGATGGCTTTTATTTGATGATCCATCAGCTTCGTTTTGCAGCCTGGTATGGTATGTCGATTGTCTTCTTCAATAGCTGTTGGTGGTGCCATGTCTTCTGTCTGTTGTACACCCAGAAAATGAGTGGGGTCGTAGCTGGGTATGTGCTTAAGCATGATATTTGCTAGGTGGAAAGACTTCCTGACTTGGGTAATAAAATTCTGTCGAGAAAAGACGAATCCATGAACAAACGATTCTGTCCTCATTGAGGGATGTACATAAAAAATTCGTAGATATATTTTATTTTCTGATTCTTTGAGTGCCTTGAGGGTAATCGGTTCAGAAACGCTACCAATATGACCAATTAAGGGGCCAAGATGTTTGCTTTGGTTTTCAGCCAAGTCACCAACCCGTTCATAATTGGAACATAGTACATGTATATTACTCCTTCCTCGATGAAAAACGGCGTCTTGAAGACCGTTCTGAGATGAGCGCAAGGATTGAGTAAGGATGACTGGTGCAATAAAAAAACCTAAGCAAAATATTGAAGACATTCCAGAAGTATTTATGAGGTATTGAATGGGGTTTGTGTTAACTGAATTGGCAATAGATTACTAGAAGATTCTGGTTAAGGTATCGTCTTTTGGAGAGTTTTAGAAGAAAAAGGAAAGAGGTTGACAGTAGATTATTCTAAATGACTAATCCATATGTGATATATATACCAATCCCTACCGGACATTATTATCTACAAAGCTGATGGTTTTTCGCAACTTTGGGCATCATTGTTTGGTGATATAATATCAAATATTAACACTCTTTATACTAAACCGATCCAAATCAACAATCTTGATAATATCACCATATCACACATTTCTAAGAAGGTTTTGAAACCTTGTTTGCTTGTGCCTCACTTGATATCATTACCTGTGATGAGCCAAATTAATGTAAATACATGAAAGTATGTACATATGTCTGTTCTAGTGCAGTGTATTGTTTTCTCCAATGGTTGATTATTTCATGGTGTGATTTATGGATAGGTATTCTTCCTGAACTTATCAACAAAAACATTTATTTCACAGGTAGCTATACAATATTTCAAATAGAAGGAAGATCTTTGTGACATAGGTTCCATCTTCCAAGTGATTTTCAAAAGAAAAATCAAAAAATTGACCTTGGTGTTGGAATAATGTGAGGTTGTTCGTGTGTTTCTTGAGATGTAAAAAATTACCAACCTCATGATTGGAATTCTGGTATTCAAAAAAGTAACAAATTAAATGCTTCACCAATATTTCTTCAAGGATGTTAATTTTCAACACCAAAAGTATTGATTTCTTGGGTTGTCCTTCAAGTCTTATAGAAATGGAATTTAAACATCATTTTCAATGAAATATAACATGAAATGGCTAGTAAAAGTTAAAATTCATCAAAAACATCAGTAGGCATGTCAAGTTGCATCTGACATTTGCAATCCTAGTTTTAGGATGAAGGATTGGAAATACTTTGATTTGGTCATGAATGAGCTTTTCTAATATTCTGATTATCTCATCCCAACTTTGAAAATCCATCATTGAATTAAAGTGCACCCATAACATTTTTTTCACTTGTTTGCAACATTTGAAAAATTAATCAACAAGATATTATGTAAAGGCCCACTTTAAAATTCAACTGAGTGGTGAAAACATTAGTTTTGATATTTTAATGAATGATCAGAATATTTCTCATCAGATCCACACAGATCAAGGTGTGATAAATATCCCATTGGCATGGACTTGCACTCAAATAAAAAAACTCATGCATCTCCTTAATTTATGCAGGAAGTCTCAGGACTGAATTCAACACCTGTTTGGAATATGTGGTCCTGAATGATCCATTTTTTCAGTAATTGGAGATAGTCTACCTGTTCATCAGAAATGCTTTGGTAAAAATCTACTAAACACTGTGAAGAGTACAACCATCCTTCAATCTTGAAAAATGTAATGCAAGTTATATTGGAATTATTATGGACTTATAGATTTTAATCATGTATCAAAGTTTGTGCTATCCATTTTGTGGTATCCATGTGGGAAGATACTCACTTGAATCCTAGCTCCCCTTTTCATGTATTATTGACTTGTACTCTTATGTCTTAATACTATTCATCCTTACAATGAACCACAAAGACAAAGGCAATTGTTTCTTTCAATAATAAAATTCATTCCAGCCACTCAATTTCTTCTCCTCATGTACTCATACTTTTTTCCTACATTATTTGGAAAGTTTAAGAAAATCAAATGTGTAGTTTAATAGGCTTGATGATTAAAGCTAAATTACATTAATCTTTTATGCAGTGTTTCAAAAGCCCAGTTGAATCCAAAATAAAATTTAAATTATCATATTGTTTGTTTGTTTTTTCCTCCCAGGAGCTGTAAAGTGCATGTGTGAATCAAAGCCAGATGGGATTTCAAATCTTTGGGGGATTTGAAATACATTGAAAAAAATTGTTGAGATATCTGTGACATCCCATTTCATTTTGTGTGCTTCTTCCTGATTTCATTTCTACCATGTCACATCCTGTGACATTCACTTGTTTTTATTTAGTTCTTATACTGGATTCAGTTGTGTTTGGGATGCTTTCTTTTCCTCATCCTTTCCAACACTTTGTCTCCAGGTATGTTCTCCTTTTCCTTCTCATTTTTCTCTCTTCTCTCTTCATGTTGAAATGAATCATCATCCTTTCCAACACTTTGTCTCCAGTCACCTGAGTTCATCTCAACAGGTTATGAGCACCAGTTGTGCTTAACGGTCTCAAACTCTTCTCGCTATCTCATCTCGTTTCGTTTTGACGTTCACGCACAAACTCATTTGACTCGACTCCTTTGGATACAAGGGATTCTTCGTCATGGCTTCTACTGAATCGGCCAACGATTCCAAACTCAATGACTCCGATTCCACCAACCTTAAGGTTTCCGGAATCGTTCAACTTAAGCCGCAGGGTGCGGACTCCAATTACCTCGATTGGAGTTTCGTGGTTCTGCTCCACCTCAAGTCCCTGAATCTCTCCTACGTGCTCGACCCCGTCGATGAGAAGGAACGCTCGGCCGCCTACGTTAAGGACAGCGTCGCGGTCTCATCCTTCATGGCGCGGACGATTCATCCGACCAACCTTTGCTTCATCCGATCCCATGGCACGGACGCCGCTGCCATGTGGTCCTCCCTGTCTCAAGCCCACCAGGATTTCTCCTCCGGTGGGCGTATGCACTGGCTACGACGATTGGTTGGTGACGATATCGATGCCCATATCGAGGCCATGGCCGTCTGTGCCGAGCGCCTCAACTCTCTGGTAACTCCCGAAAAACCTCTAACGGCGGACGACATCCATTCGACCGTGTTGCTAACCTCCCTCACCGACGACTGGCTGCCGTGCGTGTTGGCCCTAATGAATGAAGATTCTGTGTCGTCGGCAAGGATTGTTTCTGCTCTCAAAGCCGAATCGCTTCGTCGTAAGGCTCGCCGCGAAGACGACATCTCCGTCTCTGCCTCTAAGGCACGTGCCGACCCCTCCAAAGAAAAGCCCCGCTTCAACGAGGCGCTCCACTGTAGCTTCTGCAACCGACCCGGTCACGACCTTTCTATCTGCGACAACGCAGCTCGGGTCCTTTCTGAGCACAAGGCCAACCGATCCTCCAACAGCGGAGGAGGCTCCCACCGCCCCGATGTTTCTCGAGACAATCAACGTCGTACAGGCAACAACCGTCCGCCCGCTCGCACCAACCCGTCTGCTAGACCCTCCGCGACCGCTGGTCAGGTCACCGTCGTCGAACTCGGTCATGACTCCTATGACGACGACTCGGACTTCTCCGTCCCTGAGCGCGTTGGCAACGCCGTTGTCGTGTCTTCCCTCACTGAGTCTGCCACTGCCAGCATCGCCGATATCAACATCGACTCGGGGTGTTCCATCTCGATGACCCCCGATGCTTCCACCGTGGACCGTCCCAAGCCAGACTCTACCTCGGTCCGACTAGCCGACAGCTCTGAAGTCTTTGCGACGCTCAGAGGCTCTCAGTCTCTCCCTCTCTCAATAGATAAGCAAGTCCCCACGCTCGTCGTTCCAGGTCTTCACGAACCCCTGCTTTCCGTTGCGGGCTTATGTGACAAGGATCTGGTGGCTGTCTTCTCCAGCAATTCATGCGACATCTACAAAGCGGATTCCTTTCAGGTCACCGGTCATCCTGTTGGTCGTGGCTATTGTAAGGGCAACCTTTTCTATCTCCCCTCCAATGAGGTAAGATCTTCATCCGCCATCTCAGTTCCATCATCCTCTCACGGCTGCTCATTACTGGATTATCACATCCGGCTCTCCCACATAGGTCTGAAACCCCTCAAACGACTCCTTCGTCAAGCTGGTATCACCCCAACAACGTACAACGATATTGAAGTTACTCAATGTCCCATTTGTGTGCAGTCAAAAATGCACCGTCTCTCTTTCACTTCTCGTCTCCCTTATCGCTCTCAATTTCCCGGTCATCTTATCCACTCTGATGTTGGTTCCTTTGAGGTCGCCTCCCGCGAGCACTACAAATATTTTGTTACTTTTATCGATGACTGTTCCAAGTTTGTTTCAATTTTTCCAATGAAATTCAAATCAGAGGTTTTCTCGTGCTTCAAAATTTTTAAGGCCTTTTTCAAAAAGGATGGAAAATTCCCAATACTCGCCCTCCGTCCTGACAATGGTGGCGAATATGTCTCTAAAGCTTTTGAATCTTTCCTCCTCACTTCTGGTATCCGCCACGAACCTGGGCCTCCTCATTCCCCTTCCCTCAACGGTGTTGCTGAGCGCACTAATCGCACTGTGGCAAACCTCATTCGATGCTCCTTACTCACTGCAAAACTTCCAAAAATTTTTTGGGCAGACGCTATGCGCCATATCTTTCACACTTTCAATTCCGTCCCCTGCTATACTCCTTTAGGCTTCCACTCTCCAAACTCTCTGCTGTGTCGCCCCCTTGTCGATTTCTCCTCACTTCATCCTTTTGGCTGTTTGGTTTGGCATAAAGTCCCGGACGCAACACAGAAGAAACTTGATCCCAGGGCCCACGCTGCTATTTTTCTATCTTATCTTGAAGATGGAAATGGA